CCCCCAACAGGAACACCCGCACCCCCCAGAGAGAGAAGCACAGGGAAGCCCCGGTCGATCCCCAGCAACCACAATGCAGAAACCCCAGGAGGCTGTAGCGACGAGTCCACAGGCTCCGCCGGCAACCCGCTCCTCCAGAGCAGATCCAGCCATGGACACCAAGTCCCGAGGTCATACCACCCGCCCAACAGAGGCCCGACAGAGCCAGGGCATCCAGGCCCCGGCAGGCAGCCACCAGGGTGGGCCTTTTTCTTGTACAATTTGTGGGAAAAGTTTCCTTCAAAAAGTGAACTTGACTCATCACATGAAACGTCACACAGGAGAGAAGCCATTTCCTTGTAAGAAATGTGGAAAATGTTTCTGCCGCAAAGGTTATTTGTCTATTCACGAGGATTCACACAGAAGTGAAGCCGTATCCTTGTGAGAAATGTGGAAAACTTTTTCGCTACCAAAATGCTCTACTGACCCACATGAAAACTCACCCAGTGGAGTAGCTGTATTTTTGTAAAATGTTTTGTTGGGTCGATGTTGGTGATACTGGCCCCATGTTTACTTGGTGTCTTTATGGGACTGTCTGTCTCAGAGATGGGAAACGGGTTTATTTTCATGAATACATTTTGAGTTAGTAAAGAAAATGGATGTTTTGTTTGTGTTTATAATTTGGACCCTTTTGTGGGGTTTTTTTTTGTGATCACAGAAGGGAAACGACTCTTAATAGCTTTTGAACCATCACCTATAACTTGGTGCGCTGTTAGCCAGATGACGGTTCCCCCTGGTTCTCTCAGCTCCTCCTGAGAATCCCAAAAACTTTGAAACGATCTTGTTTCTCAGTTGCTGATCCAAAAATGTGGAAAAACCAACAGAGAAGTGTCATCCTGTCCGTTTTTAAATCACTTCCTAAAACTACTTCTTCTTGGCTTTCGACACAACGTAAGATGTTAATTTTTAATCTAGTTTTAGTTTAATTATTTTATTTTGTTTTTAATAAATAAAATCAAATATATTCAAATAATGCTATTTTTGGTTTGCTTTTCTTTTGCAATTCAGTTTGCAATTCTAGAACTGTTTGTTCTAGAATTGCGCCGCTCAAGGTGGCTGCATGTTGGAGCAGCTCTGTTACTTTCATTCTGAGATTTTGCTTTTGGAAACTTTAATTCCTCTTTTTCTGGATGTGAATCACATTTTTGGATGATTGTTTCCTCTGGTATCAGATGCTGTGCAGCTGGAAGGATTTTTACTGAAACTTTTTTAGTTTTGGACATTTGTTATGATGTGTAATCATGGCAACAAGGCAGTTTTCTACAACCAGCAGCTGATTAACATCTCAAAAGCTCAAATAATATCTCAACTACAGCCCCAAATCTCAAATGAGTTGAAAAAGATGTTCTGTGGATGCATTCCCATCTACCTGCCAGCTGTGCTCAAGTGCCTGACCACTGAGATCTGGAACTAGCAGGAAACATGGCTCATGACAGTGGAAGGACAGGATTGTCCCTCGGCACCTAGAGTTGGCTGTCCGTAGTGACGAGGAGCTCGGCAGACTGCTGGGTGGAGTGGCCATCTCTCTGGGAGGAGTTCAGCCCAGCATTCAGGTGGTCCTACAGCCCGGAGGAACTGAGAGGCCAGCTGAGTCTGGGTGGATGAATCGGACAGCATCTGCAGCCAGTTTCTTAGGATCCGCTGTGGGATGGTCCTTTACAAAAGATCCTTCCTGCCTAGTCATCAGTATCTATAACATCTCTTAATGAAATGAGGATAACGAGTTACAACAACAAAAAATAACTTCCCTTTGGGATTAACAAAGTATTTTTTTAATTGAATTTTGAATGTTTTTATGATTTACTGGAACTGCTGTTGGTTTTATTGACTGTAGCTGTACAAAACTTTGGTCCTAAGGTTGTTTAAAGTGCTTTATGAATACAGCTGGTATGGGATTAAGTTGCACCTGAACTTCATTAATAAATTGATGGAAACACTTGGAATGTTTCAAGTTTTTTTCAAATGTATTTTTTGAATGAAAACTGAACACTGTTGAACGTTTATATCATGCACTTCCTGTTTGTCAACTTACTGACACTTTTAGGGTCACTCGCAAGAAAGATTTTGTTTCCAAGTTTTGAGATTAAAATCACAATGCTAAGAAAATTGTTGAGCAATTAAAGCTCATATCTCATTTAGGCACCAGACATGGCTGCCTTAGCCTATCTGTCACAGAACCTGCAACATTAGCATCATAAGAGTTAGAAATCACAGCAAATTATATAACACAAGGACTAAATTTGAGCCAGAAGAGGAGCAAGCATTAACTCACCTGAAACCAAAACTCCTCACTTCCTCAAATAACACACAGAACAACTTTTATTTTTATGACGAGCTTTTTATTTTTATAATCGGTTTATTATTTGGTATGCAGTACCTCGTTTATCGCGGGGGTTCCATTCCCAGCCCATCCACCCCCTCCCGCAATAAGTGCCATCTGCTGCTCTCTGCCAGCTATCTCTGACACGCCCACTTCTCTGCGGCAATCTCATCTCCCTCCTGTGTAAATAAACAATTTAAATACTGTAATATTTTAAATAATCCTTGCAGCATGGACTGTTTAAAATTTTACAGTATTTAATTTGTAGATAAGAGAAGCGCAACAGGACAGCAAAGTGTTAACCCTTCATGCAGCACGGAGCAGAAATGTATTGATCAATTACATTAACAACTGAACACAGAAGTTCTAAAATAATTTAAAATAAATTTTAACACTTACATTTTGTGATTATCACAATTTTACGAATTGACATACTTTGAATTTTAAGTTGGAAGACAAAAGTCGCTTGGTGCAGCTGGACAGCGAACCGTTAACCCTTTACGAAGCTGCTGCAGCACCGAGAAGAAATGGACGTTCTTAGGATTTAAACTAACTAGAGCAATTGAATTTCCTGCAATAATGCAGTGTGAATGCTTGTTGCTGAAAAACAGCTGAAATTAGATAAAAACATGCTGAAATGGAAGACCAAGCCTAAGTTAGCAGAAGGTCAATGTTTCTTTATTTGTCATTCGCACCACATGTGTTACATGTGGTGAAATGAAATTGTGTACACGGGGTCCCAGTTACATTCAACAAAAGTATAAAATGTAAAAGAAAAACAGTAATAAGGTCTAATATATGATCCTGGAGGAAAATGAAATCTGCATCTCCATAAAGTTGGTCAGCAGAAGGAAGCGTGAAGTGCTCTAAAACTTCCTGGTAGACAGCTGTGTTGACCTTGGACCTCAGAAAACAGAGTGGACCAACACCAGCAGATGACGTGGCACCCCAAACCATCACTGACTGTGGAAACTTGACCTCAAGCAATGAAAAAAAAATTCTGTGCATCTCCTCTCTTCCTCCAAACTCTGGATCCTTGATTTCCAAAGGAAATACAATATTTACTTTCATCAGAGAACAAAAATTTGGACCACTCAGCGGCAGTCCAGTCCTTTTTGGCTTTAGCCTAGGCAAGACGCTTCTGATGCCGTCTTTTTAATAAGAGTGGCTTGACACAAGGAATGAGACAGCTGAAACCCGTGTCTTGCATATGTCTGTGTGTGGTGGTTCTTGAAGCAATGACTTCAGCTGCAGTCCACTCTTTGTGAATCTCCCTCACATTTTGGAATGGGTATTGTTTCACAATCCTCTCCAGGGTGCAGTTATCCCTATTGCTTGTATATATTTTTTGACCACATCGTTTCCTTCCCTTCGCCTCTCTATTAATGTTCTTGGACACAGAGCTCTGTGAACAGCCAGCCTCTTTAGCAATGATCTTTTGTGTCTTGCCCTCCTTGTGCAAGTCTTTTGGACAACTGTCAAGTCAGCAGTCTTCTCCATGATTGTGTATCCTACAGAACTACACTAAGAGACCATTTAAAGGCCTTTGCATGTGTTTTGAGTTAATTAGCTGATTAGAATGTGTCATCAGGTGTCTTAAATATTGAACATTTACACAATATTCTAATTTTATGTGATACTGAATTTGGGGTTTTCATTAGTGGTCAGTTATAATCATCAACATTAAAAGAAATAAACATATGAAATATATCAGTATGTGTGTAATGAATGAATATAGTATACAAGTTAAATTTTTTTAATGGAATTATTGAAATAAATCAACTTTTCATGATATTATAATTTTATGACCAACAACTGTATATATACATACAGTCCAGAATGAGAATGAGAATGTAGCTGTAGGCTAAAAGATCTTCCTACCACACTGGAAGGAGTTTTGGGGATTCAGCCGATCTTCTGATTCAAAATTAGGGTTAGCTCGTCAGCCTCAGCAATAGACAGGAACCTGGCCTGTGTGAAACAGGCCTAATAATCAATAATAATATCAAAACATTATAAATATAAGCATTACATTGGTTGGTCTTTAATTAAGATGAAGTTAGCAGCTTCTCGGTAAACATTCGATCTCCGGGGCTTCAGCGTTGTGTTATTCTCGTTCAATCCGGAGATTGCCCGAGAGGCAGACTGAGCATGGCTGACCGAAATCAGACTGCCTTCTCCGGACTGAACGAAAATAACAGACTGCTGAAGCCCCGGAGCTCGAATGTCCAATGTAAAACTAACTTTACCGCGGTTTAATGTGGCACTATGGCTCTGCAGACATTGCACGTTACTGTCTTGTGGTGTTTCTAGTGTAAAATACTTTCACACAGCGGACATGTTTGGACGAAAAGTTGGTTAGCTGTTAGTCACAGTGCTACTGCACGTTGTAGCTGGCTGCAAACTATGAAATGGATTTCCTGAATGTGAGGCAGGTCTTATTACTCTGGGTTCATGAGACATGCCTCCGTTCAGGAAATCCATTCCATAGTTTGAAGCCAATGTGCAGCGCAAGATGTTATATATATATATATATATATATATATATATATATATATGCAATAGCGGTTTATGCGGGGATTAGTTTATATATGATATCTATGGTTTGAACGGGGCGGAGCTTGCACAGGAAACAGATCTCGATACAACACCGGAGAGGAAGAAGGCAGGAAGTGAGACTCGGTGAACGTGGCGGAGAGCAGTGGGAGAATGTTGCAGCTGAAATCAAATCGTCTTCAGTTCAGGATCTGAGAGTTTCTTTATGAAGATATGGATCTTCGGCGCAGACTGCTGGATATCAACTGGGAACCTCGGGCCCATTTACACAGCAGATCAGGTCGGTACCAGCTAACGCGCTGTGGTCGAAATGTCCACTCGTTCACTGTCAGACAGCCATTTTGTTTGGTGTTGGGAAGTTAAACTAATTTTAATTATTTTTGTAACGTCCTAGAAACTAGTCACGTGTTGCAGTCATAGTAGAGAAAGTAAACAGAAGTTGAACCCTACGTCGGTGGAAGTTGACCATGATGCATTGCGGCCTGATTTGACGCAGCAGGCTAAAGTGGCTAAAGCTAACGTACACAGCTCGTGATTTAAAGGGTCAGTCTGGCCATTTTTGAAGTGGTGTTCAGTCTAATAGTTATCAGATGTTATTATTTTATCAGCCGTGACGTCAGTTACAGAGCTTAGGGGGTGAAAAGAGGGCAAAAATCTTCGTCCTGGCTAGGCTAATCAGGGGAGGGCCTGTTTATTGATTTTCATAATTTAAACATAATACATTCTCCAAAACAAACCAAAAAAATTCCGTGAAAGATTTATTTACAAAGTGTGCAGCTTTTCTCTCTGCTGTATTTTCTTCAGGACATTTTAAAGTACATTTCCAGTGACACTTGTGCTTAAAATGTCTTGCTTTACTAGTTAGTGTTTCTCGTGGGTCACTTGCCTAGGCCTTCGGAGGGCGCTCGTCTCTGGGGTTTTTGTAGACCCGGGTAGAGAAGAGATGCGCTATGTTGGTATTGTGTGTAAATTAGTGCTACGTTGGCGCTGGCAACTTTGTCAACGGAGGAAGGGATGTATAGCATAGCGCTACATTTGCTTTGCGTACTGTTTGGAGTCTGAGCTGCTACAGTCTCCTTTCTTTATTTTTAAAGAATAAAATAAAGCTAGCAAGGCACAAACAAAATTATAGATTCACTTCTCATTGCGTATATCATAACATAACTTAAGTAACCCATTTGTTATGGTTTGGACCCATAAACAGTAAAACTTTTACTTTGACATCAATGTAAAGATTTTTGAGAACTCTTTAATTTAAATTTATCTATGTTTTCTCTGGACTATTAACCTAAAGGAACAGTGCTCTCAGATTACAGGTAGTGTGACTGTTTACCGGTGTGTTGTCTTTCATTGAGTGCCTTGTTATTGGGATGTACTTGATGAGTTACCAGTAGGGGTGCGAATCTCTGGTGATCCGATTCGATTCTGATTTTTGGTGTCACGTTACAATTTTATATCTTTTTTTTTTTCGATTCAGAAATGATTTTCCTATTGAAAGGGTCATAAATTTTGTTTAAATTATGTAACTGACAAGCTGAAAAGATTAAACAACAATGTAAACAAATAGACCATTTATTTCAGAATCATTTTAGGTTCCTTACTGTATCAAATATTTATTCATTTTATATTTATACCAAAAATAGGAAAAAATATAGGAGTGCCTAAAATTCTGTAACTTAAATTACCAGTATTATGTTAGCTTAGTTGCCTGAATTTTTCTAAAAAAATAAAATCAAAATCTACGAGCAAGTAATTCATCGATCCATCATCTTTATCCACTTCTTCCTTTTCGAGTCATGGGGGTCACTGGTGCCCATATCAGTCATCACTGTGTGAGAGGTGGGGGGACACCTGGACAGGTCTCCAGTCCATCGCAGACAAATAATTTAAAATGTATAAATACAAAAGTAAACGGACTTCAGCCTACCATAGTACATTAACCTTTAACTCAAAATAAAATACAGACTTCAGTTGTTTTTAACCATATTCCTCTAACATTTGTTATATTTTCAAAACTTAACCTAATATGAAATATACAGACTTCAGTCTTAACCATATTGATTCATATTTAGTAAATATTTAACAAAATTTCAAAACCTTTGCAAGTTTGCACAAAAACCTCTTCTGAACTGTAATTTATAAATCATAAACTGTATCATTTAGAACTGGCTCCAGGTGATGTGTCTCATCTGTCCTCTTCAACCTGTTAAAAAGACAAATTACATAAAGTTTGTTGTACAACTTGTCTATAAGTGTTAGTATAATATGAGAAAAAACAAATACCTTTCAGCTGCATCAGAGCATCTCCCATTTGTTGTTTCATGGTGAAGTTGTGGAGCTGCTTTATCGTAAAAAAAAAAAAAAAAATCTACGTGAAGGAATAACGTACATTGGATCCAGCGTATTAAAAATAAACCCCTCACCTTCCACTGAGCCGTCTGATCGTAAATCCTTTGTGATATAGCAGGAGATGGAGAGGGAAATCTTTGCAGCCTTTGGGGAAGCCTAGAAGTTTGTTGCAGAGTTCGCTGGTCGGCTGCTTCGCTTTCATCTTCCGTGAATTTTGTCTTATTTCCAAAATACTGTACCGCAATTTTATTTTACACTTCTTGTAAACAACTGTGCTCTTGTGAAGCTCTGTCTTCCCCTGGAACATTGCAGGATCTGAAATTATTTTTAAAGACGAAGAAGCGGGTTGAATCGCGCTGTCTCCCTCCTCCATGCTAGCAGGCTCCATTCAGATAAAGGGAGCTGGCTAACTAGCTTGCTGTACGGTGGCCTACACGGCTCAATTCTACAGCGGCCGAACGGGAAGTAGGAGCAAAAAATATAAAACTTAAATGCATTTTTAAATCAATTTTTGGACCTTTAGAAACTATTCAGAATCGCCAGGACTAAGAATCTAGATTCATCGAAAAATATATATTTTTCTGCACCCCTAGTTACCAGTAAATTATTTGTTATCAGATCTTGGACTTGACATGCTGTGCTGAGTGTGCCTTTTCTGAGAAATCCATCACCTGCTGAAATGCGGTCCGATTTAGACATGCTGTTAGGTTTTTTTGGGAGGGGGGGGGGGGGGTTGGGATGTGCTTGTCTTTGGCCTCTAAAACCTCAATGGTGAAATTGGTCTGTCTCATCCATTCATTCAGCAGCTGGGTCTGTGCCTTCTGTAGGATCTTGCTTGCCCAGTAAACTTGAGTGGGAAATGTTTCTAGGTGTGTGGGCAGGGTTTACAAAGTCTTAAAATATATACAAATAATAAAATAAATATAATTCTGCTATTTTGCAGATTTTCACCTATCGTGGGGGTCTCTGGAATGTACCCCCCCCCCCCCCCCCCAAAAAAAAAAAATGGTGAGGGATCACTCAACAGAGTCTGCAACAACACATGAAGGGTTAGCCTAGAGCTAATAGCAAACAGGCTAAAAACTCTCAAGTGTTTTAAATCAAACAAAAGAGTTGCTAATCAACAACTCCTGATCAAGACGAGACTCTTTTGACACCTCAGACACCACGGGACAACTCCTTTAGATGCCCAACGTGAAAAGAAGTCGCAAAAATAAACATTTTAACCAGCATTTGAGCAAGTAGCTAACAAGAACTCTTTCTTTATTCTTGTCAAGTTGTGTTCTTTACTAATTTTCTATTGCTCATAAATGTCACTCTATTCTTGAAATTGGTTCATGCATTTGTCACATCTAGACTGGATTATTGCAATGGTTTATCTGGGTGTCCAAATACTTCTCTTTAAAAAGTCTTTACTTGATCCAAAATGCTGCTGCCAGAGTCTTAACTGGTGTTAGTAGGAGATATATCTCTCCAGTTTTAGCTTCTCTCCATTGGCTCCCTGTCAAATTCAGAATTGAATTCAAAATCTTACTTCTAACCTACAAAGCCCTCAACAACCTAGCTGCATCTTATAGTCGAGATATTATTCTTCCATATTTTCCTCACAGAACACTTTGCTCTCAGACTACAGGCTTACTTGTGGTTCCTAGAGTTTCCAAAAGCAGAATGGGAGGAAGATCTTTCAGTTATCAGGCTCCTCTCTTGTGGAACCAATTTCCAATTTCTGTCCACAGGGCTGACACTAGGGCTGCAACAAACGAATATTTTAATAATCGATTAATCTGTTGATTTATTTTTTCGATTGATCGATGAATCTGTCAAAAATACCAAAAAATGTTTTCATTTCCACCTCTTTATTCCAAAATTTGACTGACATAGCAAATCGCACAAAAAACAGGTTGCTACTTAACTATTCTGTTAGTAAAATATTGAATAAGAAAAAATAAAAGTTTGTTAAATAGCTTCAATAAAAAAATAAATGTACACAAAAATATATACAATTGTATGCTTTATACCTGCACAATATGTAGCTACTTTGTAAAATGTGTCCTTGATGGAAGAGTGTAACCTGGATTAAAAGTGTGGATCATTGTAGTGAAGCCTTCGTCTTCAACTATCGACAGAGGCCTCATATCAGTGACGATCATGTTAAGGATACTTTCAGTCAAGACAGCTGCTTGCTGTGGTGTCCATGATGTCTTTCCATCATGATGGCTGTCATTGTTTGCTGTTTGTTTTCTGGAAAGAGAAACACGGTATAGTATGTATTATAGCATAATTTACAGCAACTCAAGACAAGAAATGCCTTGTTTCACTTGGTGTTAATCACTTCTCTCAATACCTAGTTCTCATTAGACGTAACATATGGCGCTAATCGCCATCTTTGTAGGCAGGCTGTAGCTGCAGACCCACATATGTCTATGTGCAAACACGCTGAGTAAGTTTGTCGAGTATTTTTTTCTTTAAGTAAATTGCAGTCGTTTCGTGTTGGGTTAGAGGAAGTTCCTACCGGGCAGACGTTCTGCAAAGCGCAGTTTTCACTTAATCCCAAAAATCAGGAAATGCGAAGGATCAACGTTCTTTCCTCCTCTCCACTTTCTTGCGAGAGTTTCCCCACGAGTTCCCCCCTCTTGTACACAAGAAAATATTTGCATCCACTCATTCAAATTGTGAATTTCCTTGAGACAAAAGTGATGTTGAGAGTGACAACAAAAGAGAGACTGAGGATGTGTGTGATTTAAGTTTTTCTGAGGCTTTTCTATTCCAAGTGAAGAGAATGATTTTCGTGGTTTTAGTGCACAGGAGGAATGAAGATAGCATCAATGATTTTTTTCTGATAGGTTATTGTATTTTTATGTATAGTTTTTAACCAGTCATGCTACAGACACTGTTCAGGAAAAAAAATATATACTGTACATATTTGTGTATGTTACTGGTACATATTTAATTAAAAGTTTAAAAAGTATTTCTATGTAACAGCTTTCTGTGTAAATATCTCATGTTACAACATGGATACCTGCAGCTTATAAACAAGTGTGGCCCATATATGTACACCTTTTTTTTATTTGGTAGGCGCAGCTTATGTTCAGGTGCGCTCAATAGCCCGGAAATTATGGTATGTGTTACACTTTTGATTCAGATGAGTATTCCAGAGTAACGAAAACCAGCTCAGGAGAATATGGGTGTTTAAAAAGTTTATGAAAAAAATTTGTTGGATGTTAACCAAAAAATAACCAAGATGTTGTTTTTCTCCCCCCAGACCACCCACACCAAAATATTTGCAAAGAGGTTCTTGTACATGAACAGCATCCTGCACAGATTAATGATGAAGAGGAGGAACGAGAACATCCACACATTAAAGATGATGAGGAACCAGAACCTCCACACATTAAAGATGATGAGGAACCAGAACCTCCACACATTAAAGATGAAGAGGAGGAAACAGAACCTCCACACATTAAAGAGGAAGCAGAGGAACCAAAGCATCCACACATTGAAGAGGAAGAGGAGGAACCAGAATCTATACATATTAAAGAGGAGGATCTCGAACCAGAACCAAACCATGATCAGCTCCTCTCAGAGAACAGAAGCCTCAGGAGAGATGCAGACAGCTCCACTTCAAAGACTCGAAGGAACACCAACACAAATGTGAAAGCTTTTCAGTGTGACAAATGTGGACAAAGTTTTAAGTTAAAATCCAAATTAATATTACATTCTAGCATCCACACCGGTGAGAAGTCACATGTTTGTCCGACATGTGGGAAAAGGTTCAGACTGAAAGATTATTTATCAAACCACATGAGAGTGCACACAGGTGAGAAGCCCTTTTCCTGTCAGTTTTGTGGGAAAATGTTCCGACGGAAAGGTCATTTATCAAGCCACATGAGAATGCACACTGGTGAGAAGCCATTTTCATGCGAGATCTGTGGGAAAAAATTCAAACAGATACATCATGCATCACTTCACATGAGAGTGCACACAGGTGAGAAGCCATACGCTTGTGATGAATGTGGGAAAAATTTTTCAAGTTCTTCTTCCTTGCGTAAACACAAGTTCGCACGGACAAGTGGACATTATCATTGCAAATTTTGTGGGAAAATCTTTTCACATCTTTCTGCCTTTCATAGACATAAGGCCACTCACACAGATAAGTATGCCTGTGAACTATGTGGAAAAAGATTTGGAGAAAAATTTAAATTATCCAGACACATGACATGCCATATGGATGTTAGACCATATCTGTGTGATATTTGTGGGAAACATTTCAAAACTGAATTTTTCATGATGGTTCACAAGAGGATTCACACAGGCGAGAAGCCATTTTCTTGTACATTTTGTGAGAAACGTTTCAGTCAAAAAGTGAACTTGACTCATCACATTAAAACTCACACAGGAGAGAAGCCATTTCATTGTGAGAAATGTGGAAAGTGTTTCTGCAGCAAAAATGGGTTGTCAGTCCACATGAGAATTCACACTGGAGCGTTGCCTTATCCTTGTGAGAAATGTGGAAAAGCTTTTCGCTACCAATGTACCCTGTTGTCCCACATGAAAACTCACCCAGGAGAGTAGCTGTATTTTTGTGATACGTTTTGTTGGATCGATGTTGGCGATATGGCCCTGTGTTTCCTTGGTGTCTTCATGGGACTGTCAGAGATGGAAAACAGGTTTTATTTTCATTAATTAATTTTTAGTTGGCTTTAAAAATATTGCATGTTTTGTCTGTGTTTTGTATTTATAGTTAACTGTTTTTGGTGGTTTTTATGTGAGCAGAGCTTGGAGACTTATCTAATAACTACTGAACTGTCATCTGGCTTTTTGTTAGCCTGGTGGTAGGTGATTGTGGTGTTAAGGAAGAGATTCCAACCAGATTTAACCAGAACTCTGAACAACGCTGGATCACTCCGTGTGGGTTGGGCTAAGTCTTTTCCTCAGGGTCGTCCTTGTACATTTTAACAGCAGATTCTGGAGTTTTCTCTAGAACCACATTGATGTTTTGTCTTTAATGATGTTTTTATTATAAAGTGAATTTTGTGTATTTCAATGGGAGGAAAAGCAGCTCATTACTGTTTGTCTCCATTAGTTCTCATTTTCTCCATTAATTAGTTTTTTGTTACATCTGAACTTTAAATAAATGTAGCAAAACATCTCAAATGTTTCAAAGTTTTTTCTGTTGTTTTTAATTAATCCCGCAATGGCTGCCTCGAAGCATTCTAAGGGTGCAGGTTGTGTGTCCACTCACAGCAGCCCACCACATAGGGATGAACATGATGAAACTACTAATTTGACGAGTTTGTTTACTGAAGTTGTTAAAATGAGTAATATGCTTCAAAATGTGGATGTTGATGTTTCTATAATAAAGCAGACAACGTCCAAATTGAATACAATGGTTGCAATGCAGGAGAGATTGACGGAGGCTGAGACGCACACATCCCGCCCGGATGACGCCTCAAAGCGGCTACACACTGCAGACGGTGAGAGAAATAAGCTGCTGGTCACTGTGGGATCACATTCAGGCCCTCGAAACCACAGTTAAAGGAATAATGTGAGTTATTGGGACACTTTTGAGCTGTGTTCAGAAGATGCTGGTAGAGGGGCTTGGGATGCGTGATAATGCAGTTTGTGATTGAACAAGCCCATGGCCTTTGCACCCCTTGCTGACCAAACCGAGCTCTGAGGCCAGTGTTTGTTTCCTGAGGCAGTCAGCGAGGGACAAAGTAATTGTGGCAGCTAAGGAGAAGTGCAGGTTTGAGTGGCGAGGATGCTGGCTGTCTGTTTCCTGATATGACTGAAGAGCTGGTGGAGAAGAGGAAGTCTTTTACTGCTGTGAACTAAAGGCTGCAGGAGCACAACTTTAAATACACCCTGGCATTCTCTGCAACATCATGTGAGGTGGAAGGGCAAAAAAGTAAGCTTCAGCTCAGCAAGGACAGCAGAGAAGTTCTTCATCAAAGATAACCAAGAGGAGAACGAGCAGGAGGAGGAGAGCTCAAATACGAACGACTGTTTTTATCAGGAGCCTCGCATAAGATGCTGTACTTGATTGTCGGGAGGGAGACCCACCGCCACCTGTCATCATGGACGGAGTAAAGAGGGGCAGAGCAGCACTCCACAGACCGGATAAGAATTTATTTTATGTTTAAGTCTTCCCTACGCTGCATTAGGCAGCTCCAACTGGGTAGGTTTTAAGTCTTAAGTTTTTTTTGTTACGTCGTTCTTTGTTGTTTATACATTAGGGATGCTCCTTCTCCAAGTAAACGGTTTTATTTTGGCTGGTTGCACTCACATGTCAACCACTTACTCAGAGGACAGGGATCTAGAGATATTTGTTCAAAATGTTTGGTTACAGGTGTAAAACGCAGTAATTTGTGATCTCTAATGACTGGGGAATATATACAATTTACATCTTGGAATTTTAATGGGTGTGGAAATCCAACTAAAAGGTGTAAAATATTGGCTTATTTAAAGACAAATCAAGCAGACAATATTTATTCAAGAGACTCATCTGCACTAGGGGAAAGAGGCGAATTTAAAATGGGCTGGGTTGGTCATATTTCTCATTCAAGTGCTTGCAATGTAATTTCTTATAATAAATATTAATTTATCACTGATAAAACAAGTTAAAGGAAGAATGATATATGTATTTTCAATGACAGAGGGTGTAAAGGTGACACTTTGTAACATTTATACACCAAATACGAAGTACCCTAAGGTTTTCACAATATAAATAGTATTTTAGGAGAAATGGAGTTACAAATAATATTAGCAAGTGATTTTAACAAAGTGATAGATCCTATTCTAGATTAGAGTATATTCAGAGGTTCACTTAGGAAGAGATGCTGTCCACATGTTAAAGGCAGATGTGAGCCTAGTTGATGTATGGAGTTTAATGAACCCATCTAAAAGGGAATACAATTTTTATTCTCATTGTCATGTATTTTATCTTATCTAATCTTATCTTATGATGGGTCAGAGGCAGGGCAGCCGACACAGGACACGAAAGTCCCAGGTTCAATCCCCAGGCATTCCCAAATGTCGTGGTGGCTCTGAGCAAGACACCCAATCTCCAATTACTCCCCGGGCGCATACATAGCTGCACACTGCCCCACCTGAGTGTACCTCAGATGCGATGGGTCAAATGCAGAGAGCCAGTTTTGCCATTGTGTGGGGGAACATACAATGATGACAACACATAGCACTTTATTTGTTTTTATTATCTTATTCTAGGATCAATCTATTTTTAATTTAAAAACTCATGTTGCATAATGTGTTAAGTTGCAATATAAAAACTATTGCACTTACTGACCCTGCAGCTATTGAACTCTGCATAAAACTAGGACTGAGGAATGTAAGAGGTTCAAGGTGGAGAATGAATGTTTCCCTCGTACAAGATAAATCTTTTAAGGAGCTGCTGGGGGAGGATCTAAAGCACTTTTTAAAAATGAACACAGGCAGTAGAGAGCAAATTCAAACTGCTTGGGTGGCTCATGTGAGGGCCAATTTTTAGCATATTCTTTAAAAAAGAAAAAGGAAAGTCTATGTAAAATCCAAGAATTGGAAACAGAAATCAAATTAAAAGAAAATAATTTAGAGGAACAATATGATGACTTACTTTATCGAGACATTTGTGGGCTTAAATTTCAGTTAAATTAAATTTATAATAGAAAAGTGGAATACAGTATTCCCTAGCTACTTTGTGGTTCGTTTATCGTGGGTTCGCTATATTTCGGATTTTCAAATTAAGATTGGACATGACGCAATTGGCTTGTTGATGGATGAGCCACGGGTTGTTTATTTAAAATAAATTTGAATGATGCCATAGTATTCCAACACAGTCACTCCAAAAAACAAGAAGCCAAAAAGGCAAAATTAAATTAAAAAAACGATAAAAACAACAGCAATAGCGCACGAGTCCCAGTCGCCAGCAGAGCAGTGCCCAGTCAACTGAGTCAGCTGTCAACCATGACATTCTACTAGCGAATGACTCTGGTCAGTCTGTGATCCTGGTACTCATTGACCTTACTGCTGCATTTGACACTGTTGACCACAGTATTTATTCATTCGACCTTTATTTAGACAGGTTAATCTCATTGAGCCTCGGGACTCATTTACAAGAGACCCGATTATCCCTATGTCATAGTTAAAACACTGGGTTGGGATCATGGGTGCAGCGTTAAAATGGTTCCGTTCATATCTGAGTGACAGGAGTTTTTGTGTTAATGTTGGTAATCGTTTATCTGCTTCTGTCCCTCTTTCCTGTGGTGTCCCACAAGGCTCCATTCTTGGACCCCTTCTGTTTTCATTCAATGTATCTGCTCCCCTTGGAGTCTATCCTGAGGAAATATGGTATTTTGTTTCATTGTTACTCCGATGATTCTGATTTATCTGCCTGTAAAACCTAACAGTTCCTGCTCCATTTGCCCTCTGCTAAAATGTCTTGATGACATCAAGACTTGGATGGCTACAAACTTCTTAAGTTTTAATGATCAGAAAACTGATGTCATTGTGTTTAACCCTAGCTCTGCTATTGTCACTGATCCTGTAAACCTGCACTCCCTCCAGCCATATCTAAAGCAGTCTGTTACCAAACTCAGGATAGTTTTAGACTCGGACTTTAAGTTTAATAAGCAGATCAACTCTGTTCTTCAAAAAAGCTTCTTCCAGTTAAGGCAGATAGCAAAGCTTAAGTCCGTGCTGTCCAGATCTGACCTTGAAAAATTAGTCCATGCATTCGTTACAACCTGGCTGGACTACTGTAACTTGCTTTGTGTTGGGGTCAGTCAGGCTTCTTTTTCACATCTCCAGCTCGTTCAAAATGCTGCAGCTCAGCTTTTAACAGGAACTCGTAGGTTTGAGCACATTACTCCGGTTCTTTCCTCTCTTCACTGGCTTCCTGTGCGTGTCAGAATCAATTAAAAAATTCTCCAGCTGACATTTAAGTGCATCAATGGTCTTGCACCCTCATACCTCTCTGACCTACTTCATCTTTATGCACCTCAGGCTTTGAGATCACCAGACCAGCTGCTTTTGGCTGTACCAAAAACCAGGTTGAAGCTCAGAGGAGATGGAGCATTTTCAGTCATGGGCCCTAAACTCTGGAATAATCTGCCTGTCAACCTTCGACAGGCCACTTCAACCCCTGTTTTAAAACTCTCCTGAAAACACACCTAAACTCATTGACATTTAACACAGGGTGATCCGATTTAGATTTTTTTAAGTGATTCTAATTGTGTTTATGATTTTTGTTTTATTCCTATTTAACACACAGTCATCTGATCTAAAAAAAAAAGTTAAGTCTGGTCCTCTGGACATTCAAAAAACAAAACAAACAAAAAAAAAGGTAGAAAAGTTTTGTCTTTTAACCGAAAGACTTCTTCAGTCTGAGTTGCTGTATTTAGTCCTCTGATCTGATTTAGTATTTTATTCTTTCTGTGTTTATGCTTTTTTATTATTCCTTGACATTTGACACAGGGTGATCTGGTTTCATTGTTTCTAATTATGCTTTGTGTTTTTATATTTTTATTCCATGTGCTGTAATTATATCTCGTTACTTTTTATTTGATGCTGTAATATTTTTGTTAAGCACTTTGGTAACAGTTTCTGTTTTAAATGTGCTATATGAATAAATCTGACTTGACTTCTGCTCACCTTGAAGAATTTCTTAGAAAATACAGCATCCCTATAACTCCTGGAGACCATGCAAAGGTATTTGGAGCCATCCCAACTGGTGTATGTATGCTTTTTAAAGGCCAGCAGAGGATTCTCACATCCTTACCTGTCCATCCCCAGCAGATACAACTATAGGGAAAATGTGTTTATCCAGTCTTCCTGTAAGTAATAAACTTATACGATCCCTATTTCAGAAGAACATCACAACACGACCAGCTGTTATGTATTGGAACAGATTGAAAGAATATCACAGGAAAGGGTCTGGCTTATATCAAACAAATAGATTGCAAACAAAATTAAAGAAATTTCCTACAAAATTATAAAATCTATCCCGCTGTTTTATATTAAAACTAGATTCAAGAAAGAAATTGATATTAACTGTGATTTTTGTGATGGATGTCCTGAAACTGTCATTGTTACTGTCCATTTGTTATTTTATTTTGGCAGAAACGATGCGACTTTATTCACAGTAACACTGAAGCACATTTTTTGCTTCTGTGGAAGCACGTGTTGCTTGGCCTCTATGAAAAACGTATGCAAAAAACAATTCTGACTACCTTATAAACCTTCTAAATTACTGGCAAAATACCACATTCATTGTAGAAAATACCCAGGAAGGAAGCCAAGCTTTGCTGTTTTTACAATAAGGTCAAGTATTCCATTTGGACAATTAAAGACTGATAAAGAAGGCACTAAAAACCATTGAGATATGTACTGCAATGAACATATTAGAACCATAACCCCCCCCCCCCCCAAAAAAAAAAATTATTTCCTGTGTTCAGTTTCCTGTGCTTGTTTATTTTGTTTTTGTTTAGATTGATCTTGATATATACAAGATTTTTTTTTTCTTTTAATTTAATGCGGACTTTATTGCAAATATAAAGTTAAAAAAAAAGTTTGACCGCAGTGCATGATGGTCGATGTAGTTTAGAACCACTGTACACATTATTACTTCGCTCCATGATGAGTTCATGTGCTCATTTTTAAAGTGAGATCTTTCGATGACCATTCATAAACATAATAATTGTCTGTGGGCACGAGCACAAAACAGTGGCTGCGGGTTGTCAGAGTGCACGCGCTTCTCCTCCCGTTTGCACGGGGGCGAGCTTGCAGGGGAAACACATTTCGATACAACACCGAAGAGGAAAAGGGCAGGGCAGGAAAACTTGGTGAACATGGCGGAGAACAGCGGGAGATTGTAGCAGCTGCAGTCAAACGGTCTTCAGTTCAGGGTCTGAGAGTTTCTTCAGGAAGAGATGGATCTTCGTCGCAGACTCAGACAGCTGGGCATCAACTGGGAACCTCGGGTCCATTTACACAGAACAGGTCGGTACCAGCTAACGCGCTGTGCTCGAAATGTCCTCTCGTTCACTGTCAAGACAGCCATTTTGTTTGGTGTTCGGAAGTTAAACTAATTTTTATTCTTTCTATAACGTCCTAGAAACTGGTCACGTGACGCAATCGAAGTAGAGAAAGTAGACAAGTTGTACTCTACATCGACCATGATGCATTGCGGCCTGCGCTGACGCAGATAGACGCAGCCAGAGTCATATATGGAGCGCTGAATCGTACGTCGACGCCATTTTACATGTGGCAGAACTGCGACGTCAAGTCCGTACGTGCGCGCTCCCGCGGCCGCCAATCGATTTTTGGCACAACACCGGTAAACTAATACAAGGAAATCTACAGTTTAAATAGTTTGAAGTTGATCCCCGTCATTAACACACACTCATATATTTGGAAAACAAACAGGCACCAAAGGCAACATTTGTAACTTTTAACGTGATTATTAAAAATGTTAACTCCTTAAATGCTTGGATTAAAGGTAAACACTGAACCAACATATTCTTTTGAGTGTTTGCAACTATTAAAAGTGTGTACAACACTGTTACTGTGGTGATAAATATAGAAATATTCATATTTGACATTTAGTCTCTGTCTATAATAACCAGATCCTGAAATGTAGATGTGACGTGTGGATTTCCTGAATAAAGAGCACCAATATTCACATTTAACTGATTTTGATTAATCACATCGATGAACGTACACCAATATAATTCAGTTCAGTTTATTTATATAGCGCCAAGTCGCAACAGACGTCATCTCAGGGCACTGAACAGAAACATTCATATATAAAAAATAATAATAATTTAACACTATCTGAGGAGCAGATTACTTTGAATTTAACTCCATCGCAGAACTCTCATATTGAGCAAGCATGAAGGTGACAGTGGAAAGGAAAAACTCCCTCATGAGGAAGAAACCTTTAGCAGAACCAGGCTCAGGACAAGCGGCCATCTGCTTCTACTGGCTGGGTTTGGTAGGAACAGATACACAATGGCAGGTCAAGAATCACATGTTAAGATAGAAATAGTCAAATGGAAACTATTCAATTTTAGAAAATTATTTAAGGAAATTAAGCCAATTTGTCCTCTAGTAGTCTGAGCTTAAGGCAGCATAACAAGCCAACCCTAATTATTGTTTTTTTTTAAAAAGGAAAGTCTTAAAAGTGGACAATGTGTCAGTCCTACGGACAGAAACTGGAAGTTGGTTCAACAAGAGCCTTATATTCCTCCCATTCTGCTTTTGGAAACTCTAGGAACCACGAGTAAGCCTGCAGTCTAAGAGCTAAGTGCTCTATTAGGAAAATATGGAACAATAAGATCTCAAATATAAGATGGAGCTAGGTTGTTGAGAGCTTTGTAGGTTAGAAGTAAGATTTTGAAGTCAATTCTAGACTTGACAGGGAGCCAATGGAGAGAAGCTAAAACCGGAGCGTAGGACCGGGCGATATATTGATATTTTTAAAATATCAATATAATTTTATTCGCAATATAAATTGACATTATTGCGATATAAATTATGTAGTTCTACTTGAAAATCCACTGGCTCTGCTGTTCTTTCTTCTCCCACACAGCCCCCCATCTTCTCACTCACTACAAAACCAGCCCCTACCTGCGCGCTCCCCCCTGCTTCCTGCTTCTCTCCAGGTGGAGCGGCTGCCTGCGACACGTAGCAGCGTCATTCCCCAATCTGTTACAGAACCCGATTTGTAGTGTAGCTCATTTGTGCATGCGCTAAAAGGAATACTTGCGGGTCGCACAGATCGCCGTTGAATATGCTAGATTAAGGAAAATGTACTAGTATAATTCCATTTATGAATAAGAACTGTTTTAATTTACTTAGAAAAGTATGTGCTCTATCTCCGCCAATTTTCCTGTTTCTTATTTATGCTACTCGTATTTCCCTTAAAATCATTGACACATTTACGTCATGGTTAAAATGTTTCACCATGTTTCGCTGTTTCACCATGGAAATAATTCATTTTGTATCTTGCAGGGTTTTTCTCGTTCAGGGGGTCAGGTCTAACGCATCACATATCATCTTAACCAATGATTTGTAACAGAAATATGAGGGGCATAAATTAGCTACATGAAGATCGGTGGAGATACAGCACGTACTTTTCTAAGTAAATTAAGACGGCTTTTATTATGTTAAACAAACTACGGTACAAAACTCTTTTACCTACGCTGTGCCTCATGAGAGGTGACGTGAAACAGCATCATCGTATCGCTAAAGACGCGGTCCTGAGCGGCTAACAAGACGGCTGTTGGATGCTAAGGACTGAGCTGAATACAGCACTTCAGACTGAAGAAGTCTTTCGGATGAAAGAAGAAACGTTTCTACATTTTTGTTTTTGTTTGTTTTTGAATGTCCAGAGGAACAGACTTAACTTTCTTTAGATTTTTCTACCTGGATTATTGAGCATGCATCAGGATATCTATAGAGCTTTAGAGCGTGACGTCACTTGTCCGCAGCGCGGCGGCTGATGGGATAGGATTGGGCCGCATCCACCATTTTTATTGCCCTCCGTATTAACTGTCGAAAACGAGCTTTCTCGCTGACTTTTTTTTTAATCGAAGTAGGTTAAAACAGTTTAGCGATGGTCTGAAATTGCTGCGTTATTGGATGCAATGTCCGGTCACACGACTGGAATTGTAAAAAGATTGAAAACGGACTTTTTTTCTAGATTCTCCGCCAGGAAACAACGCGAGGAGCTCATGTGTCGGACGTAACAAAAAGGAGACGGTGAGACGTCCTGATAACTTTCTCCAGCGTCCCAAGAGACCTGCTAGTTTGTTCCAGACATTCTGGTGAGTGTCTAAATTCAGTTTGTTGGTGTTGTGCCATAAATTTGTGCCATGATTTTGTCGGGGTGTATCATGTTTAGTTCATGTTCATAGAAGTGGGTCAACCTGGTTTAGGTCGGGTTTATATTTTGCATGTAACTTAGTCCGAGTTTAGGCAGAATGGACATCTGTGTCATTGTGAAATAAACCGTTTAAAGTTTCTAGTGTTGTCACTTTTACTGTAGTAACACTGATGTGTGTTGTGATGTGTCCTCTTCAAGACAAACCTTCAGATGAAACTCCAGGAGAGGAGCTCAGTGAGGCTGCAGATGATGGAGAGGAGGAACATGAAGCAGCAGCTAAAAGGTACAAATACAATGTGTGAACAAAAGAAGAACAGAAATAAACCACCTGTTACAGGAGAACAGGGAGCTCAGGTCAGAGCTGAATGAAAAACAGCTGGACAAATAATTTTAAAAGTATTAAATATTATACAGGACTTCATTGCTTTGCCACCTTGTTGTCATTGTTTAACACTGTTAGGCATTTTCTGCCAGCATTAAAAAACCCTCACAATTTCAAATGTTCTACAAACACTAATGCATCCTGTTCAGCATCTCTGCCATGTTTTGAAGGTGTCACATAAAACTCTGTCTAATACCTGTGTCTTTCTTTTCTTTCCAAGGGATGGACGTGCATCAGACAAGCTCATAACAGAAAGCTGTGGCCTTGTCTCCAGATTATTGCCCGGGGACGTTGTGTTATGACAGAGGCTTTGATATTAAAGACAGTGTGGGAGTCAAGGTCAAGGTTCTTTATTGTCATTCACATCACATGTTGTACATGAGGTGGAACGAAACTGTGTACACAGGGTCCCAGTTACATCCAACAAAAGTATAAATGAATGATGTGCTGAGGTTCAAATCCCATCAGTCACTAAATGGAGATGTGAACTTGATGCTAAGGATGTTGAACACACACGAGCACACCTTAGAAATCAAGTGGAAAGAGTGATTGGTTGCATGAGAAACACAATGTTGCACAGAAATATACCAGTTAACTATACTGGTGCTTACATGTGAGGGTGAAGAGCTGACACTTGTTAACATTGTGTGTGTGCTGTAGTTTAGTGAACATTTGTTCTAATGTGGTTGTAAATCTGATGCTAATGAAACCTGCACATGCTGCTACTGATATATGTCAAATGTAGATTGGAGAAAAAATTATATTTGTTGCAATCATTGTTTGAAATATATTTACAGTTGAATGAAAACTTGCAAGTGATTGTTTTTTTTTTTCTTATTTAATAAAAATTCATGTGGTAAACATTCATGAATCATTTGATTCATCACTTCATGGAACATGTAAACATGATGAACTTGATCACATTTGTAGTAAATATTTGATGTATTAACATGTTTCAGGTAAGAAATTAACATGTAATGAAACGGATCCTATTTTAAAGTCAACATTTTATGTAATTAAACGTTTCTAGTAACAAACATGATGGACGTTGTGTGAGGTAATACATTTCATAGAAAATTGCTACACAAAATGTTCAAATATAAGTTAACAGCATGATTTACATATCTGGACTTTATTTGTAACAGAAGACGTTTCGCTCCTCATCCGAGGAGCTTTCTCAATTCAAAGAGCAGAGAGTGAGAGATTCAGGTACCTGACTTTGTTCGGTCTGATTTCAGTCAGCCACGCTGTCTGCCCTCCTCCGAGATGGGCAGACTGAGCGGGGCAGACTGAGCAGGGCTGACTGAAATCAGACTGCCTTCTCTGGATTGAACAAAAATAACAGACTGCTGAAGCCCCGGAGCTCGAATGTCCAACGTAAAATGAACTTTACCGTGGTTTAATGTTGGCTCTGCAGACATTGCACGATGCTGTCTTGTTTTGTGGTGTTTCTAGCGTAAAATTCTTCCACACAGCGGACATGTTTCGATGAAATGTTGGTTAGCCGTTAGCCACAGTGCTACTGCACGTTGTAGCTGGCTGCAAACTATGAAATGGATTTCCTGAATGTGAGGCGGGTCTTATTACTCTGGGTTCATGAAACACGTCACCGTTCAGGAAATCCATTCCATAGTTTGAAGCCAACGTGCAGAGCAGCTGGCAGGGAATCACATGAGCAGATGTTTGAACAGACACAGACATGCATCATGGATCAGAAATCTCTGCAGATTGGATCGTAAAAATCCAATACGTAAATTATGCTGGTATCAGAGCCTGATACCGATACTGAATCGGATCGGCCCCATCCCTTGGTTCAAGGCAGCTAAGTTGAGGAAACTAGTTTGAAATGTGGCTTTGAACGGGAAAAGAATAATTTGAAATGTGAACAGATCTGTAGTTAGCTGGGAGTTTAGTTTAGCTTTAGTCTTACTTTGGGCCGATAACCCTGTGGGCCTGTGGTTCCGGATTGCTATGGGGAGGAAACTGATTTGAAATGCGATTTAAAGCGGAAGAAAACTCTTTGGGAACATCATTCTAAATGTGAACGGGTCGATGGTGAACATTTAGTTTACCTCGGGCCGTCACCTAGCTGGCCTTTGCTTTCTGACTGCTAACGTGAGCTAGCATTGGTGACTCTGCACAACCTATGGGCGCCTGGCTAGTTAAATCATTTTTCAAAAGCACAGATTCAAGCTTCCAGATCAGACAGCCTCTACTCCAGAGTCAACATACCAGAACATTTGATACATGTACCATTATCTTCAAACGGAGCAGTGTTATAGCTAAACATCTGGCACATGATGCATGTGATGAAACTCGACGCCATGTTAAGCTAAGGCTAGTAAAAGCCAGCAGATCTCAATACACTGATAAAAAAAACAAAAATCCTGAAAAATAAAGACCAAAGTGGAATACGTTTAAGGTTAGGGTGATCAACCTAGCTGTTTTTTTGTTACATTTTCATTTAAATACCATTTTATTTTCACTTAATAAAAAACAAATCTCAGTTTGTACGCATCCTTTATAATTGTCTATTGTTGTCTTTGTTGTCCACTGTTGTCATCACTCTTTGTTAAAATCAGGTCTCTCTTGTAAATGAGTCCCCGAGGATTAACCTGTACATGCCATGACCTTCATGGAGGGGTAGGGGCAAAAACTGATTCAGATGACAACAAAGTCCATGCTCAATAATCCAGGTATACAATCCAACATTTTTCAGTCAGGTCATCTGGACAATTTATTTTTTTTATGCTGAAACGTTTCGCCTTCGATCCGGAAGGCTTCATCAGTCAAGGAAACAACACAAAACTGATTCTTCCCCCAACAGATTACTCCAAAAGTGGAACAAACCAGTTACGGTGGTGCTAAAATGGTGTATTTGGTACGCCCCCTCCTCCATTGCCGGCCCTCTTCCTTGTTGACAGTCGTGTCAAACTGGTTGAAAACAACAAAGTCCATGCACAATAATCCAGGTATACAATCCTGGATAATACAAAGATTCAGATGAGTATTCCAGAGTAACAAAAACCAGCTCAGGAGAATATGGGTGTTAAAAGTTTGAGATAAAACTGTTTAATTTTTATGATTATTAACCAAGAAAAAAACAACATGTTCTTTTTTCTACCCTCAGACCTTCCACACCAAAATATCTGCAAAGAGGTTCATGCACATGAACAGCATCCTGCACAGATTAAAGAGGAAGAGGAAGAACCAGAACCTCCACAGATTAAAGGCGAAGAGCAGGAACCAGAACCATCATACATTAAAGATGAAGAGGAGGAACCAGAACCTCCACACATTAAAGATGAAGAGGAGGAACTAGAACCTCCACAGATTAAAAGTGAAGAGGAGGAACCTGAACCTGCACACATTAAAGATGAGGAGGAACCAGAACCTCCACACATTAAAGATGAGGAGGAACCAGAACCTCCACACATTAAAGATGAAGAGGAGGAACCAGAACCTCCACACATTAAAAGTGAAGAGGAGGAACCCGATCCTCCACACATTAAAGCTGAACAGGAGGAACCTGAACTTGCACACATTAAAGATGAAGAGGAGGAACCCGAACCTCCACACATTAAAGATGAAGAGGAGGATCTCTCCATCATGGAACCAGAACCAAACAATGATCAGCTCCTCTCTGAAAACAGAAGCCTCAGCAGAGATGCAGACAGCTCCACTTCAGAAACTCAGAGGAGCACCAACAGAAGCGTAAACGCTTTTCAGTGTGACAAATGTGGAAAAAGTTTTAAGTTTAAATTCCAACTAATATCACATGCTAGCATCCACTCTGGTGAGAAGTCACATGTTTGTCAGACATGTGGGAAAGAGTTCAGATTGAAAGATAATTTATCAAGCCACTTGAAATTGCACACAGGTGAGAAGCCATACCCCTGTGAGATCTGTGGGAAAAGTTTCAGACAGAAAGCTCATTTGTCAAGCCACATGGGAGTGCACAAATGTGAGAAGCCATACACTTGTGACAAATGTGATAAAAGCTTTTCAAGTTCTACATCCTTGCAGAATCACAAAATCAGTCATACAAAGAGTCAGTATGAATGCAAAACTTGTGGGAAAATCTCCTTGTGTTATTCTTCCTTTTATAGACATAAGGCCACTCACACAGATAAGTATGCCTGTGAATTATGTGGGAAAAGATTCGGAGAAAATTCTAAATTATCCAAACACATGACATGTCATACTGATGTAAGACCATATCTGTGTGATATTTGTGGGAAACATTTCACAGCTGATTTTTTTTTGACGATCCACAAGAGGACTCACACAGGTGAGAAACCATTTTCTTGTAAAATTTGTGGGAAACATTTTGCTCAAAAGGGGAACATGACTCTTCACATGAAAACTCACACAGGAGAGAAGCCGTTTACTTGTGAGAAATGTGGAAAATGTTTCAGCAGCAAAGGTTATTTGTCAGTCCACATGAGAATTCACACTGGAGCGATGCCGTATCCTTGTGACAAATGTGGAAAAGTTTTCCGTTGCCGAGTTACACGACTGTCCCACATGAAAACTCACCCAGTAGAGTAGCTTTATTTTTGTAAAATATTTTGTTAGATCAATGTTGGCAATTCTGGCCCTGTGTTTACTTGGTGTTTTTATGGAACCGTCCATCTCAGAGATGAGAAATGGGTTTCATTTTCATGAATGAATTTTGATTGTGCTTTTAAAAATTGGATATTTTCTTGGTGTTTTGCGTTTATAGTTTTAACAGTTTTTTGTGTTTTTTATGTAAACAGTGCTTTCTCTGCTGCTCGCCTCAAGAGGGTCTAAAATGTAGCAGTACATCTTTTAACATACACTAGAAATATAAATACATTTCTTCTGTCTTATCCTCTTTGCATTGGCTTCCTGGACACTTAAGGATTCATTTAAAAGTTATTTGTTTTTAAAGCTTAAATGTTCTTGCCTTGTCTCACTGAGCTACTACATCCCCACCCCCCCACCCTTCGTTCTCAGGTCAGTGGACTAGCTCCTTCCGAGAGTTCCAGAAACTAAACGATAGTGATGTGCGGATCGATACTAAAATATCGATTGCTGCCGATACCAGAACTTTGTGCTCTAGAATCAATTCTGAAATCAAACTAGCAATACTTTTGATACTTCATTTCAGGTAATGCATATCATTAACTGGATTATAGTTGAAAGTAACTAAACAATTGAGATCTTGTCAAAACAACATGCAGTTGGTAGGAACTACTTTTTCTTCCGCCTGTGGAAGTGTGCAATGCATGTAAGTGGAGAGGCACACTGCTCGTGCTCAGTCAGTCTGTGAGGGCAAAACAGGCTCTGGACAGGTCCTTCAGTGCTGCAGGACTATCCAGGTACAGAGGGAGGAAATGTAGAGCTTCAAGTGGTGCTAAGAACTGTTGCAATTGGTCGGAGTTGTTCAAATTAATACATATGGTTATGAAATAAGTAACAAAATCTATGCTTCAACAACATATAGTTGCATGAGTTCAGTTTGGAGCAACGGTTAATTTGAGACGGATCCTGCCGGAACAAGATCCGGGAACTCTCTCGTTTCGACCCGTTCTGTTCCGGCAACTCTTTGATCGGATCTGGCAGCTCCGCCCCTAAAAGTTCAAAGTCATCGTACATTTTTATTTTGATTATTTATTTAAAAATATGAGAGGAGACATTGCCTTTAGCCCGGCGGATATTCTAGCCGTGGCACGCGCAGCCAACCAGCTATGTGCTCCTTCGAGGAGCAAGAGAGGAGCCTCTAGGTGAGGACGGAGGGACAGATGGTCTTACGCACAGAGATTCTGCGCTGAGTCCTTCTCTCCTCATCCTCTCCTCCTCCTCTCCAAATATTGTCCCTACTCCTCGGGGCTGCGCACTGAAAAACACCCCCTCCCCTCCTCTCAGACCCCCGAAACATAACCGATCATTTATTTAACAGAATAAATAAATGCCCTGTGGACAGTGCACGTTACGCACAGAAACGTCTTCAGACAGCTCTAGCGCACGCTCATCAGCAGATGTCCGTAGTCCTGCTACATTTCAGACCTAATAAATAAAAAAGCTTACTGTAAAAACTACATTAAAAATAAAAAGATGGAAATGTTTGATGTGTTATTCACATTATACGCCACGTTTCAAAACAACGGCGCTAATTTGTCAAAATAACAACAGCAATCAAAATGTCAAAAAGACAGTCCAATTTACTTTAATAAAAATGGATGGATGTCCTTAATTGGACAACAGAGAACTGAAGCCTTCAGCTGCTTCAAACTGCCACAAGACTGAAGCAAGAGCGGAGATGTCATCAAATTATACAGAGCAATGATGATAAAACAGCCATAATAAATTCTGAAAAATATATACTACAAAATATGGATAAAATATAACATGTCTTAAAAACACGTATTATTATTTAGTAGCTATTTAATAATTTATTTTCATAAGTTTTATGATTTTCCTTTTGTGTGTGCGTGTTTGAAACACCATTTTCACATATTTTGGATTGCGTCCTGTTATTTTCTGTTGTATAAGCTCAGCTATTGTAAATGAGGCCACTACCTCAATATACTCGAGTTTAAAATAAATACATTACTTAGATGTCTTGTGTTCTTTATGCAGCTTTGATTTGCAATATTGTACTATACGTTCACAGCTTTTTTTTTATTAACCAGACACATTAGGTGTATTTGCGCAACTAGTATTGGTATCGCCGATACTAGCCTGAATTTTACCCGGTATCAGTATTGGACCAGAATCCTGGTATCGAACAATATTACTAAACGAAAGCTTCGAAGGGATCATGTCTCTGCTGCTGTTCCTAAAATGTGGAACGACCAACAGATTGGCGACTTCTTGTCCGTTCTTCTGCATCACTTCCTAAAACCATCTCTTCTTGGCTTTCGACACCACCTAAGATGTCGATTTTTATTCTAATTTTAGTTTAATGTTTTATTTTGTTTTCGTTAAATAAAACTAATTAAATTAACATAAGGCTGTTTTTGGTTTGCTTTTAAATGTTTTTTTTTTTTTTTGCTTTTAAATGATTTTGTGACGTGACTGCTGATTGTTTTGACTGCAGCTGTACACAACTTTTGTCCAAAAGTTTTAAAAGACGTTTTATGAATACAGCTGGTATATGGGATGTTTGTTGCACCTGCACTTCATTAATAAATTGAGCAAAACAACTTGAACGTTTCAATTTTTTTTTCTAATGTATTATTTATGAAAACAAAGTGTTGAAAGTTTATATCACGCACTTCCTGTTTTTCAGCTTACTGATCGACACTTTTAGGGGCACTCCCCATGCTCCATAATTTTCACTGCTCTTTTACTGTTGTGAATGTGAATAAAATGTTCCATGTAATCAATCTTCATGTGACTGATCAGCTTCCACCTGATTTTTTAATTTTTTTACATGAACAAGCTCCACTGACACACTTTGTTTCTGGGTTTTGTTGTCAGATATTTCTGCTCTCCTTTAAATCTTCTGTACAGTTCAGAGTGTCCTCGTATCAAATAAACTGATTTTTCAAAATAAAAGCTCCAGTCTGTGCATTTATTTGAGGAAGCGGAGCTTTGGTTCCAGGTGAGTTAATGTGTGTTGCTCTTCAGGCTCAAATTTAGTCCTTGTTTTATATAATTTGCTGTGATTTCTAACTCTTTAAGATGTGAATATTTGCAGGAACTGTGACAGATTGGCTCAGGCGGCCATGTTTGGTTCCTAAATGTGATGTGAGCTTAATTTATTCAATTTTTTTTCTTAGCATTTTGATTTTAATCTCAAAACTTGGAAACAAAGTATTCTGAGTGTACATACGCTTTGCTGTTATATGACAAATCATGTAAGTAGAACACACAATAACTTCTTGACAGCTTTATAAATATATTTATAATTTTGTATTTTGGAAACTTGGATCTAATTATTTCACAGGTTCATAGCTGAAGAAACGAGGCCTGCATGACCCGGTGCAAACTGAGCCAGCTATATGCTCTTTATTTTGTTCATGGTTGTGCAGTTATTAATATATTTTTTTGATCATCTTTATTGTCCTTTATCACTTCCGTTATTGTTGCAATTCAAGATTGTGCAATATTAGTTTCCGGCTGTTATTCTTTCAGCCTCCATCCATCCATCTTTACCCGCTGTCTGTTATTGGTTATATCCAGATGCATGCGCAATAATCCAGGTAAAACATCTAAAAAAAAAGTTAAATCTGGTCCTCTGGACATTAAAGAAAAAAAAAATTGTAGAAATGTTTCGTCCATCCGAAACACTTCTTCAGTCTGAGGTGCTGTATTCAGCTCAGTCTTATAAATAGCACTTCGTGTAGTGGATCAACCAGTTTGCTGCTGACAGCCATCCTTGATCATGTGAGCAGCTGGTTTTGGTTGTCAGCAACAAACTGGTTGATCCACTACTACTTTCCACAAGTCAGATCCGCTACGCCTGTCAGTCAATCCAGTAGGCGTGTCAGCAAATGACCAATCCTAAGCTAAATGAGTCGTAATATTATCCTAACTCTGACACGATAAAGCAGGGTTTACCGCATTTTAACTGTGGTAAAATGAAGAATGTTGAGCATCTTGTTAAGTTATACTTTGGTATTTGTTTTACAGATGAGCACATCAGGATCAGATTATTATCAGTATCAGGACTTTGAACCTGCAAGGTGGTACGCTCTGATGGGCTGCAGCAGCTCTGCAGGTAAGGAGCATTTAGCTTCAAATTGGTCATTTGCTGACACGCCTACTGGATTGATTGACAGGTCGCGTCCTGGCTCCGACTCGTGGAAAAAATAAAATAAATTCAACCTTTATTTCTACAGGTTAATCCCATTGAGCCTTAGGGACTCATTTACAAGAGACATGTTTTTGTTTTTTTAACAAAGAGTGATGACAACAGTGGATAACGACAATAGACAATGCATAAAAGAGGCATACAATTTATTTATTTTTAAATGAGAGCTGTAAAAAAAACAGTCTCGTACGAGTTTATTTTCGTAATATTAAGACTTAATTCGACTTTATTCTCGTAATTTTATGGATTTTAATTCTTTTTTCTTAGCGTAGCCCTAAAGCTCCGTCGTAGTATTTGTTAATTTTTTAGAGCACGCGCCGCTTTCACCTCCCGTTTGAACGGGGGCGGAGCTTGCAGGGGAAACAGATTTCGATACAACACCGGAGAGGAAAAAGCGCAGGAAGACTCGATGAACGTGGCGGAGACCAGCGGGAGATTGTAGCAGCTGCAGTCAAACCGTCTTCAGTTCAGGAGTTTATTCAGGAAGAGATGGATCTTCGGCGCAGACTCAGACAGCTGGGCATCAACTGGGAACTTCGGGTCCATTTACACAGAACAGGTCGGTACCAGCTAACACGCGCTGCGCTTGAAATGTCCTCTCGTTCACTGTCAGTCAGTCATTCTGTTTGGTGTTTGGAAGTTAAACTCATTTATATTATTTCTGCAACGTCCTAGAAACTGGTCACGTGTTGCTAAAAGTAGAGAAAGTAGACAGAAGTTGTACCGTACATCGGTGGACTAAGACCATGATGCATTGCGGGCTGAGCTGATGCAGCAGGCTACAGAGGCTAATGCTAACATAAAATTTAAAGGGATATCCTGGCCATTTTGAAGTGATGTTCAGTCTTATGGAAACAAAATTGCACAGCGCCTTTCAGGGTCCTAAACTTCTGTGTCTCTGTATCCTCTGTACCAGTAATGCATTGTGTTTTTCATGTCAGCTGACGTCACAATCCCATTCTCTATAGTTATTAGATAACTAGGTTTACTTAGCTTACTTCTTAGCTAGCGCTTCTGTATTTTTCATTCATTCGTTCTTTATTTATACAGGTTAGTCTCATTGAGACATGAAACCAGCCACTAGGGAGCACAAGCCAGTGTATCTCTTGTGCCGGTCCCAAGCCCAGGTAAATGTTAAGGGTTGTGTCGGGAATGGCATCTGATGTAAAACACTTTTGCCAAAACCATAATGCGAGTTCATCAAAGCGAAACCATACCGGATCGGTCGACACCCGGGTTAACAACGACCGTCACCGGTGCTGTTGACAAACAGGGTGCCGGCGGCAATTGTGCTACTGTTAGTTGAAGACCATGAGGTAGAGAGGACATGAAGGTAGTTGGAGTGAGGACAGAGGATGCAGAGGACAGAGTGAGGTGGAGGAGGATGACTCGCTGTGGCGACCCCTGAAGAGGGAAAAGCCGAAAGAAGAAGAAGCCTCATTGAGACATGAGGACTCATTTGTAAGAGAGACCTGTTTTAAACAAAGAACACAAATGAGGTACTGACAACAATAGATAATCATAAAAGCATATAAAATGAAAAGTCAAAAAAGTCACCTGAGTTCAGCGGATACTGTAGTACGATCAACATGACACGTGTCTGCCGATGGGCAGAAGAAGCCACATTTAAAAGAGAGCCACTTTCTTTCATTAGGAGGGAGACTGTAAATTGAAAACAGGAGTGAACAAAAATATTTACTTAAAGGGTTTTCAATTCAAAAATACTTTATTAATCCCAAAGTGAAATTATTTGTTGTTATTACTCGTTATCCTCATTTCATTAAGAGATGTTATAGATACTGATGGCTGTAGACAGGAAGGATCTCTTGTAAAGGTCCATCCCACAGTGGATCCTAAGAAACTGGCTGCAGATGCCATCCGATTCGTCCACCCAGACTCGGCTGGCCTCTCGGTTCAAGAAGGGGTTCTCTGCAGACCAAAAGTGGGCATTTTTTGTCGGTTCCCCCAGGCTGTAGGAGCGCCTGAATGCCAGGCAGAACTTCTCCCAGAGCGATGGCCACTGCTCCCAGCAGTCTGCCGAGCTCCTGGTCGCTGCGGACAGCCAACTGTAGGTGCCGAGGGACGATCCTGTCCTTCCGCTGTCATGAGCCGTGTTTCCTGCTAGTTCCAGGATCTCAGTGGTCAGGCACTCGAGCACAGCTGGCAGGTAGATGAGAATGAGTCCACAGAACATCCTTTCAACTCAATTGAGATCTGGGGCTGTAGTTGAGATATTATGTGAGCTTTTGAGATGTAAATCAGCTGCTGTTGGTTGTAGAAAACTGCCTTGTTGCCATGGTTACGCATCATGCTGGTGAAGATTCAGGTGGGGGTCAGTTTATATATATATATATATATATATATATATATACACACATATACATATATATATATATACACACATATACATATATATATATATACACACATATACATATATATATATATATATAA